TCTGTCTTATTTTTGTGCTACAGACTTTGATCTAAGCTAGTTGTTTTTGTGATCATTCAATGAGATCTATGAATATATATATAAGTTTAGCGTCTTGGTATCTGCTCAAATATTCGAAGTAATTCGGGCAATGTGCAGTTTGTAAATACTTGTTTTGTAATTGTTAAGTTTTAGCCTCCTACTTTCCTCTTTTATCCCTGCACTAACTTGTTATTTTTACAACACCTGTCATCACACACCTTCAGAAATCCTGGATTCATACTAACTAGACTCACAACAGTGTCCGATTCAAGGTTAACCGCCTTACACTCTGGATAGAGAGAGATCGCTTCATAGAAATTCACATCGTTTCACACTACAGTTGAACAAATTATTTCCAGATCAATCACATAATTATCACCTCTCCATCTTCCTGAGAAGTAGTAAAAAGCATTCGTAGAGGATATTACCGACTTCCTAATCGATAAGTATTCAAACCTTTCCAACAATATTCTAGTCTGTAATTGGCTACAATTTTCAAGCCAATCGGATAGGCTTTGGTTTATCAGCAGTGAGCCAATCATTTTGTCAGCAAGTTATAACTTGCCATTTCACTTCAAATCATTAGCAGGAGGATGGTAGATAGATAGATAGAAAGATGGATAGACGCAAAAGATCAGAGGAGATGTTGTTGTTGTTGTTAGCTTGTCTGTTTGTTAGTTGGTGAGTTATTCTATGTGAGAAAGAAATAATGGCTTTGCCTATAAGTAAACCTCATTAACAGACATAAATGTGCAACATATATATGTGTATACGCATTATACGTTCTTAGATTTGAAGAGTACAGGAAATTCTAGCAGTAAGTGCAGATATCCAATCAGCTTTTAAGTTATTCAAAAGGGAAATTTATAAGAGGATATGAACAAAATGAGATAATGCATAGACTAAAAGGAAAATTAGCAGAAAAGTGAATTTAGATGTGGTGGGTGGTGGTGGTGGAGGTTGGTGAGAAGTTGAAGGTTGGAGGAAGGGGGTGCGGGGGCAACGAAGAAGAGGATGAAAAAAGCTAACCATTTACCTAGTTCCGGAACACTTTATCTTATAAGATTTATTTGATTAAAATTAGCACAAGTTACTAATTGTATACACGGAAAGAGGTTCAGTGTATTCATTGCTGCTCGTTGATGTCATCAAGTTCAAATTAGGTAAGCTCAATTAGCTACAGTTTTTAAAGTTTTTATCTGTTAAAAATACTCACAAAACTGTTGAACAGACTGCTTAAGACCATGACTGTTCTTCAGAAGTGGTTGATGACTACAGTTGAGTGATGCTCGAATTTCATAAAATACGATATAGCCTGAAACAAGAGGATTTGAACAAGTGGCTTGTTAGCTAGTGAGGTAGACGTTAGACAGGTTCTTATCTAGCAAATTGTCTCATCCTCCATACTGTATGCATATCCTTCAATAGGACATTTAAAAAAACTGTTCCATTTAGTAGAATTCAGAATATGTTAGCTGGATTACTGACACTTTCCTGTTAAGGCGAACGTCAACAATGGATTTTTTCATTCTGTCTATTTTTAGTTATAGAAAAAAACCGTTAATACTTTCCCATTTACACTAGCCACCATGTCAGTTCTTCTGTTCCACACTTTAAATCATGTAAGCCCAACGATTGACTGACTAATAATGATGGTTATCACACAGAGAGCGGTGTCTGTGCTTACACTTGTATATCTCTCTATATAGATATATTCCAAAAAGACACAGATATGTAGTACTCTAGGAAACCAGTTAACTCGGCTTCTTGAACGACTTCGAAGTCGCTTCCGGTTAGCTTTAACTAGAAATAACATTTGGGATTTTGTTTTGTGGTCAAATATCCTGCTAGACCTGCACTACGGCCTCGCTACCTGATGATTCTTTAGCCTGGCCCATCTAAACTATTGGATAGGTTGTTCTTAACACCACGCCAACTGGTAAAGGGAGAATGTAACACTTACGGCTGCTCAAAGGTGTATTTATCAGTGGTGATATGAATAGACCATAGAGATACACAGTCACACTAACACAACACAGCTGAACTCGTGTCCCTTTAGAATCCAATTTTCTATCATGATAAATAAATTTGTCGTTGACGGTGAAATGTCTGAGGTTCAACTGACGTGACAAACTTATTTGATCTCCTAAAGTACACACCGGGGTAAGTTTGAGAGTAATTAGGAAGAAAAAGAAAATTAACTGAATGGTCTGTGAAATCAGGAGTTGTCAGGGTTTCGAAAATTATCAGGATGCTTATAATATCTAGGATATATGTCGTTGTGCATTTTCAAGTCTTCAGTGAGATGAACTTACTTTCATGTTAAAAAATAACCTTCCTAACGACAGCTAGCCTACTTTAGAGATCAAAAGATCCATTGATTAAACTAGTCAGTGGTTAGATCAGTGAGTTGAGTTGAACAGAACGGCAATTTTTTAGAATTTACTAGGCTTTCTAAGTTTCCAATGCTGATTGTATTTCAGTGAATTCGTACATCAACCTAATTTACTTCATACACCTTTAAAATTTCTCTGTATGTCTGTTTATGAGCTTCGCTTGTTTGGAACTGAGGTCATCAGCGGTGTACTCGGTTAGCTTCAGCATTTATTTATTATTAATAATTCCTTCACGTTCCCAGTGGAACATAGGACTTCAAGCTAGAGGTTGAAGTTACTGTAGCAGGGTTTATTTTTACAGGGTGAAGTTGCTAGCCTCATATCCAACCTTTCCCCTTTACAAGCTTTATTTCTGGCTCAGCGAGGTAAAGGCGTGCGTCGGCCGGGGATCGAGCCACGAACCATGTTCACGGTCGGCAAGCGTCCTAACCACTGTGCCACCGACGCATTTAGCTTCAGCTTAGACAGTAGAATCGCTTCGCTTTTTAAAATATTTTCGTTATCCATTATAATGTAAGCTCCTAACTACAATAAACGGAAAATAATTTTGTGATCTGAACTTCTCTTCTTCTGGATGGAACGCCTTTGGTGGTATTAGTCCACATTGTTCGGTCTCCTTTTGACATATTGATTCATGACAGTCTGGTTTTAGAGTCCAGGTAGCCGAGATATTGTCAACTGTCTTATCTTCGTCTTATATTATGCTCTAGTATTATTTTTCAAATTGGTACGACTGTTTTTAACTTCGACCTCTTTTTGAGGAAACCAAAATTTTTATTATTTTTCTCCCTATGGTTAAGAAATATATGCCTTTTTGATTGACACGAATAAGTTCACATTTTTTCTTACTTGATGTTAAATTATGCAGTTTCAGTCTATTCCGTTCGGAAACAACAACAACAACAACAAGTGTTAGACTGCAATATCTGTATTGGACGACAGCTTTGAGATCGGTGATTTTCTTGCCACTGAAACTTTTAGTTACTTATTTTAAGCAGGTATCCAAATTGACGGGTTTCTGTCTATTTCTCCGCCAACTCAGTGGATGACTTTAAGTTTGCATTTTCAACTAATTACTCCTCATACTAACCTGGATATCGTATTCCGATTTATTTTTTCCCACTTTTTGGCATAGCATTTTCTGAAATATCGAACCGGGATTCTATTCGAGTATATGAGTAAAGCACAAATATGTTTTTTTTTTTGGGTGAATGTTGATATCATGTGTAAGATGCGGATAAAATTTTGAGCTGATTTGAGATAAGTCATTTTGATTCAGTTGTGTTCTCTGGTTTGATCGATTCAGTTGTGGAGCTTTAGTTGTCCATGTAGACAACATCCATTCAGTGCAGGTTTATAATATGAAATGAACTTGTCTGAATTCTCCTTGAAAAGCTGATATAACTGTATCTCCTGACAATCATTGTCATGATTGGCTGTCAATTCACATAACTACTAATCATTTTTATTGGCTTGGAGTTTGAACTTTCTTTTCATGTGATTTAATTTTTTCTATTAGTTGGTAAATTTGATCTATGGTAATGTATTTGTTAGTTGGTGATTGTTCATCAGAGTATCAGACCTTCAGATATTCCTTGGCATTTTTGGTGTTCCTCTACTTTTCAAATTTCTACATTATCCTAATCAGATTGGCCTCCGTAACTGTCAACATGTTTGGATATAAAAGAATACATATTGTGACTTTTCGCAGGTAATTTATAATCTTGGATTCTCAGTCGAAGGGGACACCTTCCTTTCATCTCATCTCATCTTCCTTCTTTCGCCGTTGGATCCTTTGGTCTGCACGCTTCTGATCGAATCGATTGTGTTGACTTGTGTGCTATGTCTGTTTCAAATGGTCGGACTATTCTAGCCGTTAATACGGAGATATTCTTTCGTGTATATGGCAGAATGAATTTTTTTATGGAGTTTGAAAATGGTTCCCTGTTGCTACTTCCATTTGAGTTAAAACATTCTGTGATGATACTGTATGGGTATTCATTCTTCCTGAAGGCAGTACCTATTTATCGTCTACTGTCTTCAGCACTGAAGTGCTACAGTATGCATGTTCTAACTCTTTTAATCAATATCTGCACACAGTTACTTTTGTGAGTCATTTGGCTATTGTTACTATAGTTGAGTCTTTGATTTCTGTGTGTGTGTGTGTGTGTGCGTGATGATTTTCTGCATATTTGTGTTTCTAAATTTTCTGTGTCAGTTTTCTTGATTAAGACATTTAAGAATGGAATTTTGCTGTCTTCCAATCAAAATCATCCTCTTGAGCTATCAGTCTTTTCTATTATTGACAGGTTATTGTTGTTATTGTTACAATTCTTGGGCAATGGATAGTTTTTATTTCACTCATTAATTGATAATCTTTCTGCAAGTTTGTGAGACTTATCCATGGTCAGTGATCTTTATAGTTTGTTCAGGCTTAATCTTTGGATGACAACTAGAGTCCTTAGTGTATTGTTCAGAATGTGTAGATCAACTGCGCGATTTGATTAACAAGCAGTCTTACTGCCATCATCATCGTTATTATAGAGGTATCTGTTAAATGATCTTACGTAACCGACAGATACTTGACAATTTCTGTGTTGTGCTTAAATAGCTTTACCGATTCAATGTATACAGAGTTAGAGGATAAATAGGCAGTCGTCTGAAACCAAAAAAGGGGTAGGTGGCCTCTTTCAAGAATTACACAGATTGGTATTGTGTCCTTTTTCATCCCATTAAATTCCTAGTGTAATAAGTTGCGTTGAGATGTGGTTGTTAACCTTTTACCCAACCTTTTCACTTTACTTAGGCTTAGACGTGATTAGGTGGACAATCGATCCTAGACCTCCGGGTCGGCTAGTGAGTATTCCTCCGTAAAACGAACTCTCTTGTCTTTGGTTCTAACAATCTAGAAATCGAATATTGCAGTTTATTATTTTAAAAAATTTTTTAATTTTGATTGCTTGATAACTTGATTCCACACCATATTTTTGGGACAAGTATGCAATTTTCAGCGTGTGATATCGGTAGCCCAAATTTTGCACGCCGACCATTGATATCAGGTGTGTGTCGGCAGTAGATCGAACCCCGGACCATGTGCATGGTCGGCAAGTGTCTTAATCGCTGTGCCACTGACCCAAATCTAAATACGCTACTGGAAATTTCTTTAAAGTCTAAAATCACTGATCAATACTAATTACAGTATCCACGATGGCAGCATTCCTGTTGAATATTTAGATAACCTTTAATAAATGCAAAGCAATATGAAGAAAATTTCGTGTCAAGGTCACGCCAACAATGAAATTGTAGTCAGAATGCAGGAGACAAATTTCTATTACTTATTCTCCAACCGCTAGTTCACATGACCAAGAGCTCATTACCATGAATTATGAGGCTCTAGTTCTAAATCTGTCTGTTTCTCCTTGAAATTATTTTATGCAACACACTACCATAAAAGTAATTAATTTTTTGTTTTTGTTTTTTTTTCATCTTTATTTTCAGCATATTAGCATTTATAAGTGTAAGACCAACAAGTAGTAGTCATGAATACATCCTCCTCTCTTGCTAATGACATCACAACTGTCAATACAGACAAGAATGAACACTTTATTCGTGCATTTCAATGTTTCTTCAGTCTATTCTCCAATCCTAATTTAAATGATCAAAGCAAATTAATGCATGTTGTAAAGTACATCAGCAGACCAGGGAGTAAATCATTTTTCCTACCGCAAATAATAGATACACTAAGCGAATATAAAGTGCCTAGCACTACTTCTAATAGTAATACTAATAATAATATTCATATTGCTACGAATAATGCCATTCATAGAGAAAATGTCAACACTAGCAATCGGCCAAATCATATAACTTACCAGCCTATTGTCAATCCACATCAGTCATCACTGTCTATACCGTCAGAATTGCACAAAACACTTCACTGTCCGTCTTCTACAGATCTAATCTCTAATATGATGGGAAAGGCTAACTGTTCGCTTTTCTACAGGATGGAGTATAACAATTTTAATGAGTCCTTAGTTGAATCGGTGAATTTCAATGGTGAAATTGAAGCGAATGCACATGAAAATCCCCTAGATTTGAGTATGTCATCCAATTTGAATAGTTCACTAACAAATCCTGTACACACAACTGTCAACATGAAGCCTTACATTTGTAAGGAACAGATAACAGACAAAAATCAAAGCCTGCCAATGTTCCGCATAAACTGTGATTACGCCAATATAGATGGATCTAACCTCACTAGTGCAATACACCTATCAGACAGCTTCCCAACAAAACGAAGACGGTCATCAAAGCATAATACAAACAGAAGAAATGCAGTTGACAACAACGCTAAGAGTAACAATAAAAATCAATGTTCTAAGGCGGATATTAACAATGAGGTTGATCTCTTCACGAAATCAAAAACACTGTCTAACAGATTGCAACAACTGTCAACAATTTCATCAACATCATCATCCCTGTCACCTGTCAGCCATCTAGATTGTAGTCCGCCAGGAAAACAACCAGTTACTCGATGTAATCACTGTCATGTTTTATTCCCATCATTGTATGAACTGAATAATCATTTCATAACAGAGCACAATGTTATATTACAAGCAGAAATGGAGCATACAAAATCCTGGAAATCACATACAATAGATGATGCGTGTTTACAGGTGAGTTTTACTATTTTACTCAGTGAACTTCAGAAAGATATTTATGCTAAATCTGAAGTTGAGAATTAGTAAACATGTCTAAAGTCATGAAATGTTTTCATATAAATTGTTAATTTAGGCATTCTTACTGTTAGATTTTCGCCACGAACTAGCATTGGTTAGAGAAAACTACCCACAAAACGTCGAACCAGGGACCTTGAGGTTACCAGCTCAAGCTACATGACGATTCAGCCACCAGGGGTGACATTCAGTGATCTTTGGATTCTAACTCTGTCAACTCAAGGTTATAGCACTACCTTCAACCAATGCCTTGGGTGAGTATCCGTTTCACCTTGGCATGGATCTCCTGAAGCTGCGGTGGGAAGTTGTGGCCAAGGTTAAGTGGATGTTGTAGAAGATATCGGTCAGCGTGGTGCGATATCGCAGTTTCAGAGAGTTAGAATACAAGGGTCACCAAATTTTAGCCGAAGTGTCTGAGTGGTCGACAGGCTTGGTCTCGTAACATGATGGTCCCCGGTTCGATCCCTGGTTGTATCGCTGCTGAAGAGTCCTAAGATGGGATGAAACAGTTGCCCAGTGCTCCCTGTATTTCAGTGGTCTGTCTAAATGATGTCAGTTTGTCATGAAAGTCTTATAACTAAAATTAATCTAAATTTCAGACAGATCATATGACCTGAATATCAAGCATTTTAGATGAATTCTCTTAGAGGTCAATGAAATTAACTTTTGTCAGCAGAGATGGCAGCAGATACTTGTGTGAGTTTCGCTTTGAGTAAGTTCCACTCAGTATACAACTAACGCATTATTTATATGTGGCACCAATAGCATACAAAACATTGGGGAGATCGTGCAATCAAAAGTAAAGAGATTGGCTAGCGGTCGCGCTAGGGAATGAATTGGTAGAAGTTGGGATTCATGGACTGGCCATTGGATCAGGTTCTAATGGCTTAGTGGTCTACGAATTAGCTTGTCTTGTACCCAGAAGGTCCTGGGTTCGATCTCTGGTGGTGGGTGCGTGCTTCTGAAGAGTCTCAAACTAAGACGAAATGACTATCCAGTACTTCCTGGTTGTTTTCCAATGGTTCTCTAGCTAATGTCAGCTCATGATGAAATCCTGTAAGCAATCATTCAAATCTCTACAAACCAATGCTTGAATAAAGGAAATGTGGCAGCTCATATTCTATTTCATTATCCTAATACATCCTCTTTTCCCATACCTTGAGTTCCCTGTGGAACACGTGACATCAAGCTTTGAAGTTTCAGCAACGTTGGTGTTGTTTTTAAGGGATTAGGTCCGTAACCTCATTCCTGACCTGTTCTCTTTTCAGGGCATACTACTGGGTAGTTAACCGGATGAGGTTGAGGAGTGGGTCGAAGGAGGAACTGAACTCACACCTTCCTAGTTCACCGGTAGACATCGTGTACTACGTCTAGGCCACATTATCTTCTAGCACTGTTCACACTTATCCCTCTATAAATTTCATAATTAATAGGGAATTACTTGTTTATTTTTAAAAAAATTTCTTGTAGAATATGAAAGTAATATTGGATCGTTCAAACAATATGCACACATCGGGTTATCCTTGTCCGAATTGTGATTATGTGGCTAAATGGCCAACGGAATTACAGAAACACATAATGGTGCATTCAAAACAACGTCCACATCGTTGTATTATATGCGGATTGTCATACAAATGGAAATGGGATTTAGGCAGACATTTTGATAAAAGTCATAACAGAACAATGAATCCTTATAAGAAAAATGTATTCAGTCATTCACAGAATCAAGAGAATCGTTTGAAAACTGCACATAAATGTAGTGCTCGACGAGTACAGAAATCATCAATTCGTAAACATTTGGGTATGAAACACAACAGTTATACAATGGATGGTTACATCCCGTTTACAACATCTCCTGTAGGTGTGAATACAAATCAGCTGGGTGAATTTTGTAATGCAGTTAAACAAGATATTGTTGCAGATCCAGTGAATCTGTCAGGCTACACCCATCTGCAATCGATTTAAATAACGAAATAAGCACTGTCATTCACACCCATCCCCTCACCCTCCACCTTAACTTTGACGCTGTAATGTGAGAACGCCCGCAGAAAACTCTAGGTTAGATAAGCAACTGCAAAAGTCAACACAATGTCTAGAGAAAGAAGAAGCCCAACATAGCGTGTAACTAGTTCCACTTCAGTCCAGTTGAGTAATTTCAGCACTATTACAGTAAAATAAAACATTGTTTACCAACATATCACACTAAAAAAAAAATCTTAAAAATGCTCAAAAATATTGATATTTGCAAACAGTAGACATTCTTGTTTTTATTTTAACTTAATAAATAACTTCACCAGAAATCGATTTAAGCTGTTCACCTTATTGCACTTTTGCAGTAAAAGAAAACCCAGTCAGTTTCACCTCTCAGTTCTTCTAAAGAGTCAGTGAATCCTTAGCATTGTGTATGCAATACCTGCAGTCTGATTAGGACAGTAGTGAATTCCCCGCATTTTCAGTAGTCATATATTCACACCGAAAGGTGTAGTGAATGTAGCAGTGATTTCACCAGTTGGATTACATGTTATAAAAAAAACCTGACTTCATCATAGCCCCTCAAGAGAATTTCTTTGTCAGCTGAACCACCTATCCGGCCAGCAGTTAACCATCCTATGAAAAAAAAATTCAAATCTTAAATTCTGTTCAAATGAGAGCCCACTCTGTTACATCTAATAAAAATTATTTTGTTTTTTGTTTTTAGTGAAAGACAGTAATTGGTTTTAGCCTTACATGTATTCTCAGAATTATTCCTGATAGAAGTAATTAACTGTCTTTAACTTTTTGTAATATACCTGCGTCAAAAATGTCTATATCATCATTCCATGTCATATGTTTCATATTGATGACTGTCATTATGATTATTCCTACTGTATAATTAAAAAAATATTTACCTAAATAACCAACTTCTTTGTTATGGACTTGTTCTGAGACGTGTTTGAAGTGAAAGTGTGAACGGTGAGTTCATCAGTGGCATTAAGTTACGTATATACATACATGGTGAGTGGTCAATACAAGCTAAGTGGTAGGATGGTAGTGTACTAATTAATACGGAGAAGTGAAAGAATCAACTTTGATAGCAAATAAACTAATAGGTGACTTTGATTAGACACTTGTTGGTAGCTAGTATCATGCATGAAGACCGAACTCCATCAGGAAGGTTTGCGAGGTGGCCACCATGCCACTAGGTGGCTCACCATGATGATGCACTCTGAATTGTCGTCATTAGATGGTTTGGGGTCACTGGGACGAAGCCCTGTTTCACCTAGGTTTCGGGCTTATTGGAACTCGTCATCCGGGCGTATATGTGATCGTAAAGGAAACTGTGCCACCCAGTGCTGCAGTCAGAAACGTTGGCAATCAGCTATTTGCATTCACGACTGACCTGCCTTAAGACTGTTTTGGATGCTTTGATTGGACACCAGGTAGTTACTAGTATCATTTTTTAAATCACGGAATATACACATTGGATCATAGGAATTATTAAAAAGACATTTGCAGTGAAGAAAATTTGCTCTTCGACGTAGTCATCAACCAGGCTGCGCATTCGTGTATTTATATCAAATGTGTAGGGAAGTTCCAGAATAACTTCTGGCCAAGGGTCAAATTAATAAAATCACAATAAGGAATTAAAATGCCATGATAAACCGGGGTGAGGGGGGGGGCGCATAAAACTCATACAATGTAGCATCATAATTACTGAGAAGATTGATATATTGGGCAATTGGGGGTTAGAAATGTAGAAATAACAAAATAGACAACATCTTTGGTTAACACATCTAGTGGGATCATAACTAATATGACGGATAAGTGTTTACGCAATTAGGGATTAAATATTTAGAAATAATAAAATGACAAATTAGATAGGAAGTTCAAATATGAAAATATGGTATTGTAAATAGGGATTAAGAAAAACTTGAAAATAACATCAATAAACAAGAAGTATGAATAAGAAAGTCAATGGGATAGTCACTATTAAAAGAATTACCTGTTTATGATGGCCTCGGCAAGGACAGGGGTTAGATGTTATTTTTTTGGATACATAGCGTGTGTTTGAGCTTTTGGATGGCTAGTGTCTTGGCTATGCCCAGATGTCTTGATTTTACTCCCTTTGATAGGTTTGATTGAATCTTGTATATTATGTTGAAGGATTTTTTGGATGGCGCTGAATGTTTTGAATTGACGAGATGTTCTGTCACTGAGCTATGGACACGTTTTCGATCTCCTTTTACTAGCCAGGCTGGAAAGTGTTCATGAGTGCGTTCATCAAGTTGGGTCATGGAACGGCTGATGTACTCAGCTCCGCAAGAACAAGTTATTCTGAAATTTCCCTAACCATTTATTATAAATACACGAATGTACAGCCTAGCTGGTAATTTCGCTGAAAAGAAGATTTTCTTCGTTGCAACTGTCTTTTTATTACTAGTATCGCTTAATTTCAGGAGAGACATGACCTTCTTCAAGATATCAGGCACGCCTTTCTGATTGGTGATTGACAATAAGCACGAAACCTGGATCCCAGGATTCCTACCGATTGCCTTCGATCAACTAATAAACACTAATTTATGCCTACCTCTGACGATTTCTGGTTTTAACGCTTCTTGTTGAACTCATAAAGGTACATGCACAAATGGTATATGATTGAGTAAAATTTAATCATAAACCAATGTTATGTGAAAGGGGTTGATTGTTAAATTTGGCGGATATGAAACGATACCAAGTTTCTGCAGATGAGAGCTTTTGAAGAGTTGATTTTCTCCTGTGGAACCAAGATAGTTCAGCCTTGAAAATAAGTATAACTGAGTACTATTTATGAATGCACGAGGATGCCTGACCGATGTGGTCGGAATCAATGTTCGGTGACTCTTTGTGCTATAGTTCATAGTGAGAGATAGTGGTGTTAATGACTATCGTATGTGTGATATTCACTATTCTCTTAATTTTATTCTGAATCTCAGCAACGTAGCAATGAATCGGGCAAACACATCGATAAGAACATCAAATAAGATATTTCTTACGTGTAATGTTGTGAAAAATGAGAAAACTATTCGATATTCTCAGTTGACTAAAATAAGTAATTGCAGATGACTCACATAAGTCGAGTTTAGTCTGTAGTCAGACAGATGTGAATTTGCGTAAATTAAGCTGCAAAGGTGAACTACTTCAGACTGCCTCATTTCTAGCCACCTACTTGGCCTGAATGGAAGATATTACATCAGAGCAGAACACGATGTATTCTACCTTACAAGTATGCTTTTTAAAATCTTGGGGTTTTGATGCTATCCTGAGTGACCAACTGAAATGAATATGGTAATTCCATTGATGATGTCGATTACAAAAACAGTGTTTTACATCATCATGTATTGGATATTGAGCACTTTCAGTTGTATAAGTCTTTTTCTACCGTCCATATCAATTACAGCTGTGATATCGTGCAGAAAGAGAATTCCTCCATTCAATTGAACTTCTCTAAAAGTTTAAGTGTGCAGTGGTGTGATTTAGAATTAAATGACAGGACGAAACTTCCAGACACTACACGTGCTAAGTTGGATGCCCTCCAGTCATAGAAACTTATTTTCTTAAATTTTTTGCAAGTTTTCTTGAGAAACGGATAGTATATTCCTTCTAAGTGTGTAGTATAACTCTTGTACCAATCTGAGTGTGAAACTATAATTTACTTTGGATGCATAATCTTCGCTTTTCAAGAGCGCCCTCGATTATATTGTGGTGAGAGCTGGCTGCTTGCCAAATTGGTAGACAATAATTTACGTCAATGTTTACGTCCACAATATTGGTCGTGAGAAAAATAAGAACAAAGACTGATTCAACAGCCAACCATAGCAGACTCTGTGTAGGCGGATACAATTTTCAGATAGATAATCTGAGCTTCAACAAACGGCCACAAAGAGATAAAAGATTAACGTTCAACGAGAAACCACCAATCAGAAGACTGTGTTTCTTTGCTTATAATAATCTATATTAATGTACATGAAATTCTAAAAATACATGTTGATTTCCTTAATAAATGATCTATATCCTGGCCCTTGTCTTCTGTTGTTACAATATAAAAGCCTAGGATCTTCAGTGAGAAGGTGCATTTCATCATGAATCAATATTATTTGACGCTTACCAGAAGCGCACATCCTAGATTTGATGAGAAACCCGGCCCAAGGTGCCTGTGTTACCTTATCTTCAGACAGAGTCATTAGATTCCCAGTTACTGATTGAATGTGGTAGGGGTAGTCTTAAAATCTAGGTATCATAGACTAGATCCAATTCTGGGCAGTGGATGTTCACTTATAATGAGTTTCAGGCTATGGTTAACCATCAGTCAAGTGATCTCCAACTTTTAATAGTTCTCTAAATGATGTCGGTTCATAATGTCATCCTACCTTAAAATTGACCAGATTTTTTAAAAACGACTGATATAATCATCTCCAGTTTGATTGGTTAAGTTGTCCGACTCGGTTTATTTGAAATCACAGAACTGAAAACACCAATGAAACTGTACAATAATGTTTGAATGTTTACTAACCAAGCTAAATGATAGTTTGATCCTCATTTCAAGCATCTTTGATGCTTTTCATTCTTAACTAAAAGGACACAAACCTGAGTTACAAGGAAACAAGATAAATTAGTTGTAGAAATGATAGTTTAACCATGACCAGAACTGAAGATTTCAGTATGAAGTTAGGAAGCGATATCAAACTGATAACTGTAGAAATAATTCACCCTTTTCTGCTCACATAATATGCGCTTCACCTTCAATGTGTTGTTGTCTTTTTCACTCACCTGAAAACTTTTTCTACTAATCCTCAACACGGTGATTTCAATGTTAGGAGGTGATACAGTCAAAAAAAAAGAAAACATCCAACTTATCATTCAGCTAAGTCAGTCAGAGATCTAGCTCTGACACTAGACAGTGAATCTAACTCTTTCAAAATGTAATAGTTAGAACACTCCTTAAGAACGTTTTCTTCCTGATTCCTCTGAGTCCCATTTGAGACATAGGGTTTCATGCTGGAGTTTTGGCAGCAGTTGTTTTCCTTTTACCCCACCATCCCTCTTCGCTGGGATTACTAGCGGCCTAACGAGGTTTGGGAGTATGTTGGTCGGGGATCGAACCCCAGACCACATGCGGCATTGTCGGTGAGCATTCTACCTCGGAACCTAATGGCCATGTAACCCTGTTTTTACGATTTAAGTTATCTTGCCACAAAAATCTCACACTAACACACTGCTGGTGCGTCGGTGGCACAGCAGTTAGGACACTCACCGACCATGCACATGGGCCGGGATTCGATCCCTGGCCGCCGCACTCTTTTACCTCTCTAAGCCAGTAGTTAGACTGGTAAAAAGGAAAGGTTGGGCATGAGGCTAGCAACCTCATCCTTTAAAAAATTAACACTGTTACAGAAACTTCAAGCATCTAGCTTGGAGCCCTCTGTTCCACTGGGAACGTGAAGGAAAATTAAAAAAACACTGCTGGTGTGTCTGTGTTCAGCAGATCGTACCATCGTCCTTCCCGGTTGTGAGAAGTGGTCATTGAAAGTGGAAGATCTTCAGTGATATAAGTTTAGGTTGAAAAGAGGTGGGAGTGGTCAAAAGTGTGGAATCACTCTGTAGAATTCTCCACTATTGGTTCGAGCTAAATACACTTCCTGACTGAGGTCCTCGACACGCTAAGAACTACTGTCTGAAGATTATTGGTGAAAGCTCAAAAACATTCCCAGTAGCTCAGAGGCATTCATATCTGGTGATCTCTTGGATTCGTTCTTCATGTAATTAACTTTTCTCCCTAACATTTCTACTTCTAATACTTTCTCTGTCCAGCTTACTGTGTACGGATGAGGCACTTCTGCGCAA